GGAGATAACTGCACTTCTCTAAGCACAGAGTGCCATGTGATAAGCATGTGGCATTGGCCAAAAGAAAGAGAGATCAGTCAGGCAAATGGGGAGAGCTCACCCTAATCGGTCATCACTTTTAGGGAAAAGCCAGCCCCAGATGTGTCCTAGGTAATGTCATCATTTGCACCTTTCAAAAAAAACACAAGGCCTTGTCACGTTCTGGTCCTCCTGCCTCGGCTTCTTTGCTGGGACTCCAGACACACTACCATGACAGGCTCTTTTATAGACAGGGTCTCCCCCTGTTGTCCAAGCCAGTCTGGAGCACATGATCCTCCTGTCTCAGCCTCCCATCACTGGGATTATAGACGCACACCATTAGACGTGGCTTTTAGATCAGACAGAGAACTAAACTTGGGTCTCCCATGTGCTCCCAAGATGCAGAGCATGTCTTAGCAGCACACACCACCATGGCTGGGCTGGCACCTTTTTAACCTGTCCTTTTCCCTCCCTTACCTTCGCTTTTCTCACTTGGACCATGTCAGCAAGTTCCCAGCTGGTCCCGGCCCCTGGCTTGTCCTTCTTCTGACCCCATGCAAGAACATTCTTTACGAAATCACATTCAAGGGCCAGCTGCTGGCTTCCATAATAACTTATTAACATAGGCTCAGTTGAATAGCTCTCACTTGGGGTCCCACTTGTAGTTCAAGTAAGACGGCCTCTCCCCCACCCCCAAGTTTTTGCTATCGGGTACATGCACTTGCTGGAGAGAAACAGAGAGACAGAAAGTGAGAAACCCACCCCCTCCCCCCAGGGGTCAATGGCCATGCCACAATCCTTTCTCCCCCATTCTTCTTTTGAGATTTTGGGTGTACACACACACACATGTACCTAGCGTGATTTTTTTTTTTGAGAGGTTTTCGCTATAGGGCATGTGCGCTCACCAGACAGACAGAGAGAGACATAGAGACAGAAAGCGAGAAATCATCCCCCCAGAGGGAATGGTCACGCCGCAATCCCTTCTCCTCCATTCTCCTCTTGGGATCTTGGGCACACACGCACACGCGCCCGGCGTGAGTTTTAAGCCACCGGGTCCCAGACACGAACCGCGGTCGACTACGTGAGAATCCAGCGACATAGCCATTACGCTAACTGCTGGTTCCCACCTAGCGTGATTTTTAAGCCACTGGGTCCCATATTAGAACCATGGTTGGCCTTGTGGGAATCCAATGCCCCCCCCACCACACCGCCTGCTGGCCCCAGATGATGGCTTTTTTACTCTTGGCTGGCATCTGGGCTAAGATAGCTGGAACAGCTGGGGGCTGAGTACACGTTTCTCTGCCTCTTTCCACATGACCTTGCTATAGGGCTATCTGGGCTTCCTCACAGCCTGGCAGTCTTGAGAAGTTTGACTCCTGACACGCTAGCTGGCATCGCACTTGGTATGCATTCTAGGAGACCCAGGTAACTCCATAAACCTAGCCGTAGAATTCTCTCAGCTCCCTTTCTGCCATATTCTCTTTGTCAAAGTAGTCACAACCCAGCCCAAATTCAAAGAGTTGAAAAAGTAGACTTCGCCTCTCAATTTGAGATGAACGTGCTTGTCTAAATGAGGTAGATGGGAATTACCAGCGGACATCTCGGGGATAAGTCGCTACAGTGTCTTTCACCCTTTTATTCTCAGGGAAAATTCTTTTCCATTCATTTTACATCCAATCGTATGTAATTTTTGTGAAGTTATCCCTCTCTTACCAAGGAAAGAGTAGCTCCCAAGTCTAAGAAAACAATTCTGGAGAAGTTGGAAACTAAGCCAGGGAAGGTGACTGTGCCTTGAGCTTGTCTCTGTTCCTGTCCCTACCACACTGCATTCGATTTGTTGGGGGCTCTCCTACTTGACCAAATTCTTGGCAGAGAGGGGCTGTATCTGCTTCATCTTCGTGTCCTTAGGGTCTAGCTCAGCGCCAACATAAAAGTGCTAAATAAATAGTAGTCGAGGTAAGTGAATTGAATTACAGGAGTCCCCCATTATCTGTGGTTTTGCTTTGTATGGTTTCAGTTACTCACAGCCTATCGTGGTCTGAAAATAAGTGAATACAACGAGGTTTGTTTTTGTTTTTGTTTTTGTTTTTTAGAGAGGTTTTTGCTATAGGGCGCGTGTGCTTGCCAGACAGACAGAGAGAGACAGAGAGACAGAAAGTGAGAAATCACCCCCCAAGGGGGGATGGCCACGCCACAATCCCTTCTCCTGCATTCTCCTCTCAGGATCTTGGGCACGCACGCACACACACACACGCTCAGCGTGAGTTTTAAGCCACCGGGTCCGGGACGCAAACCGTGGTCAACTACATGGGAGTCCAGCGACATAGCCATTACACTAACTGCTGGTCCCTACAATGAGGTATTTTGAGAGAGACCACATTCACATAACTCTAATTATAGTCTATTGTTATATTGTTCTACTTTATTATTAGTTATTATCATTCATTTCTTACCGTGCCTCTGTGTCCCAAGATCTGCATCTTCAGATGCAATCAACTTATGTTTCAAAAATACTCAGGAAAAAAATAACAATACAACATAAAAATTTTAAAATAATACAAAAACAACACAGCATTACGTATGTAGTGATTGTATCAGAAGGGGCATTGTAGATCATCTTTAGATGACTTCAGGTATAGGGGTGGATGTGTGTAGGTTAAATGCAAATACTCCACTATGATAAATAAGATGCTCGAGCATCTGGCGTCCTGTGCATACTGAGTGATGACTATATATAGGATTTGGTACTCTCTGTGGTTTCAGGCATCCATTGGGGGGGGTTGTCTCGAAAGGTACCCCCCACAGATAAGAGGGCGCTATTGCATTGCTATTTTGTATTTTTACATCCAGAGCCTACTATCTTTAGAACCAGAAGATCAATCCATCTTAAAGAATTTGTGGAGCTTGGGACCAGCAGGGAGAGGTTAAGGGAGCTGAATCCCACATGACCGATTGCATGGTTCAAGTCCTGGACCCAGTGGCTTAAAAAGCATGCCAACCACATGTGCGTAGGTGAACAAAATCCCAAGAGGAGAATGGAAGAGAGGGGATTGTGGTGTGGCCCTCCCCCTAGGGGGGTTGATTTCTCACTTTTCCTCTCTCTCTCTCTCTCTCTGTCTCTGTCTCTGGCAAGCACACATGCCCTATAGCAAAACTAAAAAAAAATTTCTTTGTGAAGCCCCTCCTGTGTATTTGACACTGACTCAGATAAGTTGGTTTCCAGTATGGGGCTTCCGTTCTCTATATTGTGGCCTTCCACAAAGATAGTAACTGCCGTGTCGAGCACATGTAGAATGTTTATCGTGTGCCAGGCATGGTTCTAAGCACTGTATATTTATTATTATTAATTAGTCCTCACAATCATCTTACTTACTAGTATTCCCAGTTTATAGATGATGAGACACAGAGAGGCTAAGTAACTTCCCCTCCGTCACAGAGCAGAGAGAAAGACCAGGCTCCAGAATCCAGAGTCTTAATTTATACTCTCCACCCCCTTGAGCCCAGCATTTCCAGAGTACATTTAGCAGAATGTCACAGAGGTAATACGGGTGTCACACGAGGAATGTTAAAGAAGCAAAAACAATTATACCTGGAGAAGAGCTTCCTTGAAGACAAATCCTAATGGATTCAAACAGTTGAAGGATTGACTTGTTTTTGGTGGCCTCTGTTGGAATCAATGGCTGGACACTGCCAGGAGATCAGGGGTACTTTGATACGAAGGAGAACTTTCTCATCCTGATGGCCCCTGTAGTTTGGGATGCCTGAGAAATCAGGAGACCCTCAGCCTCCTGGAGATGTATGCCCATGTCCCTTTTGACATCAGTCAGCTCTTTTCCCTACCTCCTTTTTCCAGACTGTGAAAAATGTGGTATTTCCTTACTTGGCCTGGGTTTTTGGGAAGATCATTTGTCTTTGTTCATGAAGCACAAAGCAGTGTTTAGGTGGTCAAGAGCAGGGGCAATGCAGTTCATGATTACGTGTCTTCTCTTTCTGATCTTTAATGGCCTGGAGGCTCAGACACCTGAGAAAACTTAAATAATGTAGAAGGGATAACTAATTGATATCTCTGGCTTTAGCAAGATGTAAAAGAGCCTATCTGAGTAATAAAAGCTTCTTTTTCAGTGCTGAGACATTTGTGTATCTCGCTTTTCCCAATCTTCCATCTTCATACTTGCCAGTGAGTCCCCTGATTTGACCAATTCCTGGACACTTCGGTTCACAATGGCAGGAACCAACTACAGAAAACCAGTAGGAGACAGTTTGGCTCTGCTGGTCTGCAGGAAGGTCCTGCTGTAGTAACGGAGATGCATCCTGCAAGCCAGAATCCATTCTCTCTCTTTTTGTGCTAGAGGGCACACGTACTCACCAGAGAGAGACAGACAGACAGACAGAGAGAAGGAAGGAAGCAAGCACCCAACATGGGGCATGGTCATGCTGCAATCCTGCGATCCTTTCTTCTTTTCTCCCTCTTTTTGCTATTTAGGGCATGTGTGTGCATGAGCATGCACATACATGAAACCCAGTGTGTTTCTGAAGCCGCCAGGGCATGGTCATGCTGTAATCCTACAATCCTTTCTTCTCCTTTTCTCCCTCTTTTTGCTATTTGGGGCATGCGTGTGCATGAGCATGCATGTACATGAAACCCAGTGTGTTTCTCAAGCCACCAGGTCTAGGAACTGAATGCACGGAGGTCATGTGTAATTCAGCTGCCTTAACCACCAGGCCATGGAGCCAGGGGAAACCGTTCTTTCTACCCGTTTCCTTGCAGATTCTGGCTAACTACGCAGTGATTTAACATGATCACCTCCCAATACACCCAAAAGACTGAGCACCTTAGCATCATTTAGAGGCTAGTGAGTTTAGTAATTCTAACACTGATAATGTTAAGTCAAAATCTGGGCCTCCAAAATCCTGTGATTCTTATTAACTCTGTGCTTTTATTTATTTTGTTTTCTTTTTGTTACTTGTGTTATGTCTCTCAGCCAAAGACCAGTCCTCCCAGGGAGATGAAGAGAAAGGCCCTCCAAAGAGCCACCCCTACTCGGTAGAGACCCCATATGGCTTTCATTTAGACCTGGACTTCCTGAAGTATGTGGATGACATCGAGAAGGGGAACACCATCAAAAGGATTCCAATCCACAGAAGGGCCAAGCAGGCCAAGTTTAGCACTTTGCCAAGAAACTTCAGTCTTCCCGACAGTGGGGCTCGCTTCCATGCAGCTCTTTCCCACCAAAACTGGTCTCCAGTGGTGCCCAGGAAGGTGTCTCTTGGGACACAGGGGCAAAGCCAGTCGCTGCCTCTTGCTCCTCAGGCCTTGGCTGGTGGGAGTGAGGTGAGCTACCATAGGAAAGCCCTGCTGGCAGAGGCCGCCAGACAGGTAGAGGCTGCTGCGGTGGAGGATGTGGAGCTGGCCCCCGGAAGTGGACGGCCCCAGCTTCTGAGAGCGTCCAGCATGCCAGCCACGCTGCTGCCGAACAGGGCCTCAGAGGAGGCAAGCCTGAGCTCAGGTGCCCCCGGGCCTGCTGCGTTTCCCCCACTTCAGGGTGAAAGTGGAGTCTGGGACGGCTCCTTCCACCTGGCAGAAGGATTTGCAGGTTTTCAGAGCTGCAGCCCACAAGCATATACCCAACCGGAAGTCAGAGAGTTTGGAGCCTTGGTGCCAGGCATTCCTGAGCTGGCCCGGGATGGGGCTGAGACCTCAGAGGGTGAAGTAAAGGCCCTGGATCACCTAAATCTCCCAAGCCCGCCTTCTTCATTCCAGAATGCCCTTGTGGTTCTAGAGGATGGAGAAGACGAGCCCGAAGCCAGACAGGCAGAGGTGACGTTCAGCCCTGGCACTCCAACTCCCAGCCCCCCACCTCTGCCCTCACCCATCCCTGAGAATGAGCTCCCCCTAGAGGAAATTGAGCTCAACATCAGTGAGCTCCCTCCCCCGCCGCCCATAGAGTTAGACGTGAGAAGCATCGGCATCAGGGTGACAGAGGAGAGCCTGGGTCTCGCTGGCGCTGGCGGGGATGCTGGCAGCCTCTCCAGCCTGGAGCAGCAGGTGTCCGCCTTGGAGGGCGAGTTGTCAGGAAGAACTGAGGAACTGGCCCAGGTCAGGGCTGCCCTCCAGCAGCAGGAAGAGGAAGTCAAAGCTAGGGAGCAGAGGATTCAAGAGCTAGAGTGTGTTGTAGCCCAGCTGAAAGAAAAGCTTAGCCAAGATAATGCCGCCCAAGCTGCTCAGGGCCTGATCGATGCCAGCGTGAACACCGACCCACTCCATGGACTCTTGACCAGGGAGTCATGTGACAAGAGCATTGGTGTCAACCTTCTGGGTATCACAGAGTCTGAAGGCTGGGAGGCCAGCGGAGAGGAGAACGGCCTTCTATGGGGGCAAGATGGTCACAGACAAGGCGATCGGAGCCCAGCAGAACGTGCGCAACCATCCCAGCTGTCACTGCCACAGGGACTCGAGGAGGTCCTCACCTCTCCTTTCCACAGCTGCCTGTCCACTGAACTCAGGATCGAAGAAACAGGCTCTGAGCAAGAGGGAGGGTTGGAAGGCCTGGCGAGGGGTACAGGAGAGCCAACCTGGAGCAGCCACAGGGAAGCCCCTCCAGCAGGGAAGGGAGAGGCCAGCTCAGAGCACCTAGGGAAGGAGCGCCCAGGAAAGCCACCAAGCTCACCCACAGATGCCACGATTGGGCAGTACGTGAAGAAGATCCAGGAACTTCTGCAGGAGCAGTGGAGTTGCCTGGAGCACGGGTACCCCGAGCTGGCCAGTGCCATCAAGCAGCCTGCCTCCAAGCTCAGCAGTATCCAGAGCCAGCTCCTGAGCTCCCTTAACCTGCTGCTGTCTGCTTACTCGGCCCAGGCTCCGCCTCAGAAGGAGCCCCCTGCCCCCTCCACCTCCCCACCATTGGGTAAATAAGGGGCCCCCACAGGGAACTCTCTCTCCATCCCATGACGAGTTAGAGGGGGAAAGATCTTTAATTGCATGAGTATGTTTTTAAAAAGATTTGAGCACCTGCAGGAACCCAGTGGAATAAAATCTGATTTGTGTAACTGGGGGCTCCGTACCTCTGTGCGTGTCCATGCTCTTGTCCAGCTTGGGTCTGATGGCAGGGCCCCCCGACATGGCTGTTCAGAGAACACAGGCACAGAGATGCCAGCAGGGAGGGCAAGTTGGAGTGTAAACCCAGCCCTCACTTCGTTTACCAAGCCAGGTGCCTACAGCCCTGCACCCCCTCCACTTCCCCAGAGAGGGCCTGGTGCTCATTTGCACTGCACCAAGGCAATGCCTAGGGCAGGGGTGGCCCTGCTGTGTGCACACCTAACCTCCCGTCATTGTTTCCTGGGCTCTTGCACTCCTGTGTCCCTCTCAGGTTCTCCCAAATGAGACATTTCCCCGAGCCTGGTTTTGAAGGAACATTAGATTGAGATCTGGAATAGTTCACTGGATATTTGTGTGTGTGTGTGTGTGTGTGTGTGTGTGTGTGTGTGTGTGTGTGTGAGAGAGAGAGAGACTGAGTGATGCTCACATATATTGGGTCATCAGAAAAGTCATGATGCATTTTTGCATATGAAAACATAAACACTCATGACTTTCCTGGCGACCCAATAGAATTGGCCTTTTGGCTGAGCAGCACTTCCTGTCCCGGATCACACTTCGCTGCTGAGGAAAGGGGGACCATGTTTTGCTTTGTTCCACGGGCAGCTGTGACTCTGTTTCCTGCCACTAACCACACGTTAGCTGTTTTCTCATTATTTTGTGCGAGTTCTAGTCTTGCCCAGTGGGAAATGCCTCCCGTACCATCGAACACAGCACAAGAAAAGTCATGTCCTTGCCCGTGTGTCTGCCATGATCCCAGTGCCATCACTAATGTCCTCCCCCATCACAAGTGTCGATGTGCATGAGAACCCGGAAGAACCACTGAGGCGCCCTCAATCAGATGGTTGTAGGGCCATGAGTCCGGAGACCTAAATTCTACCTTTGGGCTGCCCTGCGCTGAGCAACTCTGCGTGCAGATTCCCCAGCCATAGGACAGGGACAATGATGCCATTTACTCCACGTGGCTCTTCTGAGAGTACTCTTGTAACTCCACTCTGTCACCCACATGTAGAAGGGCATGATTAACAGGGACAGTTCTACCAACCTTAGCCAGAAAGCCAGGCCTCCTCCAAGTCCCCAGAACGTTTGATTTAGAGGATCTGGTTCCCTGTTCCCTACAATCTCTTCCCACGCCTGCACCCTGTATCCCCTCAAAGCAAGAGTCCTGGTTTTGTGGCATTCATGGTCTTCCCCAGGCTCATTCTAACCTATGATGTTGTGTCTGCCTAGAGATCTCCCCGTCGACCAGCCTTAAATCCATAATGAAAAAGAAAGACTATGGCTTCCGTGCAGGAGGTAATGGGACCAAAAAGAACCTTCAGTTTGTTGGGGTTAACGGTGGGTAAGCATCATTTGTGAAGCTCAGTGCCTTCCCGTCCTGTTAGCCTTAGCCCTCCCTTTTCCTAGGGGAAGCATCTGGTTTTTATTCTTCTTCAAGGGGATTTATCTCTGTGGCCCTTTAAAGCTCTATCTCGGGTTTGCATGTGTTTGGCTGCTTGCCAGCTGTGGCAACCTCTGCTTTTAATTTGTCTTGGCTTTGGTCTCCCCCAGGGCCAAGACTCCAAGTGGCTTCTGGGAGTTTGGAGGGTCTGTGGGCCTTTTGAGGAAGGCGTTTAACCTGAACCACAACACTGAAACCAGTGCAAACTCTGAATCTTTGAACTTCAAATTCCATCTATTTCATTTTTCTTCCTTTGCTTACTGCACATCAAACCAGTTTTCTAGGCTGAAGTAAAAAAACTAGTCTGTTGACTTAGGCTATGAACCAAGCCTTACGTATTTCCAAAGAATTGAACATGAGATTTGAACATTTTCTAGATCATTCAACAAACATTTATTAAATGCCAACAATGTGCTAGGTGTTGGGGATAAAACAGTCAAATAAATCCTGGTCCCAGCCTTCGGCACACAGATTAGAAGTGAAGAGGAAATGCTGATATGACAAGATGAGTTCTGTGATACAGGGTGCATAGGAGAGGTACCGGCCCAGAGGAGGTCAGAATCCCTGCTAATTCGAATTGCACCAGAAAGCAAGATTCTACATGTAAAGAAGGGTTGACATCATTGTTGTAGGTTCTTTGAGGGAACCCCCACACATGATGAAATAGGGTCTTCGGAGAGTCATTTTCTCTCCCACTACCATCTAATCCTGGTGGCTGGGGAAGAAAGTTTTTGAGTTTTCACCAGTTCTTGTACGGAAAAGACGACTCAGCCTATTCTTAAACTTATCCCTCTGCAGCTTGAACTCCCCAGTAGTGTTCACTCTGCAGCCGAGCTGGAAGGACGTCGCAGCTTGGCCTGTGTCATGTACTGCCACCGGCTAATGCTTTCCCTCCCTTGAACATCAGGAGCCCAGGCCTGTCTTGGGGCCTTGGTATTTGCTGTTCCGCCTGCTTAGAGTGCTCTTCTAGGTATTCCTCAGTATTGTTACCTAACACAGCAGTTCTCAACCTTGACCACACATCAGAAACACCCAGGAAGCTGTAAAAAAATCCCAGTTCCTGAAGGTGGTCATACCACACACACACATAAACCCCGGGGACCAGCAGATGGCATAATGGTCACGTCACTGAACTCCCACATAGTTGACCACAGTTCGAGTCCTGGACCCAACAGTTTAAAACTTGCACCAGGTGTGCACGCATGCATGTGCAAGATGCGTAGAGAAGAACGGAGGAGAAGGGATTGTGGCATGGCCATCCCCCCAACCCAGGAGGGTGATTTCTCACTTTCTGTCTGTCTTTCTCTCTCTCTCCCCCTCTCTCTCTCCTGAGAGCACACACGCCCTATAGTAAAAGTCTCTCTCTAAAAAAAAAAAATGTATAAAGTTAAATTCCAGGCCAGCAGATGGCATGGTGGTTAAGGCGCTGGTCACCCACATAATCAACCATGATTCAAGTTCCAGAGCCAACAGCTTAAAAATCACAGGGCCCAACAGGTGGTGTGGTAGTTAAGGGTGTTGGACTCCCACATAGCTGACTACGGTTCGAGTCTCAGACCTGGCGACTGAACTCCCACATAGTTGACCACAGTTCGAGTCCTGGACCCAACAGTTTAAAACTTGCACCAGGTGTGCACGCATGCATGTGCAAGATGCGTAGAGAAGAACGGAGGAGAAGGGATTGTGGCATGGCCATCCCCCCAACCCAGGAGGGTGATTTCTCACTTTCTGTCTGTCTTTCTCTCTCTCTCCCCCTCTCTCTCTCCTGAGAGCACACACGCCCTATAGTAAAAGTCTCTCTCTAAAAAAAAAAAATGTATAAAGTTAAATTCCAGGCCAGCAGATGGCATGGTGGTTAAGGCGCTGGTCACCCACATAATCAACCATGATTCAAGTTCCAGAGCCAACAGCTTAAAAATCACAGGGCCCAACAGGTGGTGTGGTAGTTAAGGGTGTTGGACTCCCACATAGCTGACTACGGTTCGAGTCTCAGACCTGGCGGCTCACTTTCCCTCTCTGTCTCTCTCTCACACACACATACTCTGTCCCTCTCTGGTCAAATTCAAATTCAAATAAATAAATAAAGTTATGTTTTTTAAAATAATTCTTTAAAAAAAAAAAAAGTAAAATAAATCACAGCACATGTGCATGCCCAAACTCTTGAGAGGAGAATGGAGGGGAAGGGATTGCAGTGTGGCTATCACCCCTTGAGGGGAGGGGTTATTTCTTACTTTCCCTCTTTTTCTGTGAGTACATGTGCCCTAGGGGGGCAAAAAACTGAAATAAATAAATAAAGTTGTCTAGGTCCTAACCATCCCTGAAGATCTTGGTTTCATTAGTATGTGGTACAGTCCATGTACCAGGAATTCTAAATACTTCCAAGTGAGTCTAATGTGCAGCCAAGGTTAAAAACTGCTCTAATTAAAGCACCCCCTCCTTCCATCACCTTATCCTATGGGCTTTTAAAATTTTATTCATCATTCTTATCATTATCTGAATATAATATTTGTTTCCATTTACTTCTTGCTTCTAGACTGTGAGCTCCATTAGGGCAAGGACTTTGGTAGACTTTGGCAGAGAATTTAGAACAGTGCCTAGCACATAGTAGGTGCTCAATAAATTTTTGTTGAATGATTGACTGGACTTCTAAGTGAAGTTTTTATGGAAGCAATTCTGCTTGGTAGATGTAATATGTCTCCCACTCTTAATCACAAAAGCAAACGGTTGTTCCTTGCACGATACAGGAAGAAATATCGGGTTTAAGCAAGACAGAGAACAGACTGGGTTTGCAAGTCCAGTGAACACAGGGGCCTTTTGTAGGTGCCACCATTTGGAAAAAAAGGCATTAGTGGGTACAGCAGAGGCCATGGCCATTGGTCTCTCTGGCTGCGTCTGGTGGCCCCAGAACCCAGAATCTTGGTCCTAATACCAGCATCCTCCATTGAGGATCTCCTGTTGGACATCAACAAAGGAATCAATCAGTCTTCCAGGACTTCCCTCCATGGCTTCTGCTCTGTCAACTCAATAGAGTCACTTTATTAGTAGTAGTAGTATTTATTATTATTTATTAATTTGGCCAGAGAGAGATAAGAGAGAGAGAAGGAAAGTGAGAAAGCAAGCTGCCAGATCTGGGACTCAAACCATGGTTGGCCATGTGGGAGTCCAGTGCCTGAACCACCACCGTCTGCTGGGAGGGAGGGCTCTGAATCAAGTGGCTCATGCTTTTACTTTGGCTGCTCCAAGTAATGATTTGTTCAAACAGGCTGCAGTCAGAAAAGCAGGTGTTGTGGTTGGACATCCCACAGAGCCCTGCCAGGAGTAGGTGTGGGTGCTCCAGCCCTGGGCTGGAAGAGGAGGGTCACAAGGAGGTCTGAACTATTTCCCAGAGGTGTGAAGATTTTTCAGGCAGTTTGGGGAACTAAAGGTGGAGGCAGGGCCCCTCTTCGTAAGGTCTCAGAAGTAGATACATTCATGAGAACCTTGGATTACCTGTCTGGACCATCTGAACACATCAGCCAATTAGGAGACGGTTAGCTGCAAAGAGCACTGGAGGATGTTTTCTCCCCAGATCCTCCAATGGCAGAGCCAGAGCTCTTTTCCACATGTGCTCTGACCCTATGCTTCCTGGGAGCGCACTTTCCCCAGCCTGTAGGTGTAGATAATGGAGGAGGGCATCAACCAGCTGGGGAACGTTATCTGAAGCCCACCTTGCTCTCATCAGTGTTGACGTGGGTACTGGGCAGGAAGGACAGAGCGAATGACCTTTGTCTGCTTCCACAGCTATGAGACCACCTCAAGTGAGGAAACCAGTGGTGAGGACAGCTCCCCAGAAGACTTTTCTGACAGCGAGGCCGAGGGGAAATGTGATGGCCCAGAACACAGACGAAGCAGGGATGCCCACCCCAGCAGCGAGTCTGGACAAGGGATCTTTGATGGCACCCAACACACAGGCCAGGAGAGTGGGCCTGGGGAGGAAGCCTCCCATTCCAAGGCTGAGAGGCAAGTCATGGGTACAGGTGGGCACCACTTCTGTAAAGGGGGAGGGGAAGTTATTCACCCTTTCATTCAATCATTTATCTATCCATTCATTGGTGTTTACGGAGTTCCTGTTCTATGCCAGGCAATACACACTGCTTGACCTGAACAGACGTGACTCTGGCCTTCATGGAATATACCCTTAGAGCCAGAGCTCCATGTATAAACACAACATTTACCTAGCCCCGAGACAGAAAGACTTTACAGTATTATATCCTTTTAACAATCCTGCAAAGTAAAAATGGGTATAATCTCCGTTTTATGGGTATAGAAGCAGAGTCTCATAGCAGTGAAATGATGCAGCTAGCAGAGCAGGGGCTCTGACGCAGGACCTTCTGAATCTTACCCACAGGCTTTTCTGTCTCCTTTTGGCCGTGCTGACATAGCCCTGTCTTCTAAAGTGGTAGTAAGTCATGTGGAAAGACAAAAAGAGTATTGCCTTTGGAGCTAGGCACACCTGGATCCAAACCCTGCCTCTGCCATGGTATTACTTTAGGCGAGATCTTTCGACTATGGTTGCCAGAGTTTCCTCATCTGGAAAATGTGGACAATAGCAACACAATAGATTTGATCCAAGGACTACAGGAGAGAGACCATGTAAAGTGCAAGCGCAGTGCCTGCCACCAACTGGTAGAAATAAGGAAGATGAACAAGGAAGGGAGCTGGTTGCCAGTCAGGTCCACAGGGCTGCTTCACAAGGGTGGTGAATGAGTGTGGCCTCCTAGTGACCAGTGCCACTAAGTCCCTCAGAAGCCTCTCATGTTAACACAGGGAGGGTGCTTGTCCCTGCAGATGCCTACTCCAGTGCTTCTCATTTTGTTGACTGTGAGGGATCTTCAAAAGTTAATTTATTAAGAGAAAATGATGGGGGCCTACAAGTGGCGTGGTGGTTGGGGCACTGGACTCCCATATGACTGACCGTGGCTTGAGTCCTGGACCTGGCAGCTTGGTTTCTCACTTTTCCTTTCTCTTGCTCTCTCACTCTATCCCTCTCTGGTCAAATTGAAATGAATGAATAAATAAAGTTAAATAAAATCATTCTTTTTGAAAGAAAAGAGAGAGAAAACTATGGGGGCCAGAGGTGGCATGTTAGTTGTAGCGCTGGACTCCCACACGACCGACTGTGGCTCAAGTCCTGGACCTGGCAGCTTGCTTTTCTCACTTTTCCTCTCTTTGTGTTTCTCTCTGTTCAAATTAAAAAATAATGATAATAATAAATAAAGTTGAACAAATAATTCTTTTTTAAAAAGAGAAAATTAGGACCAGCAGTTGGGTAATGGCTATGTCGCTGGACTCCCATGTAGTTGACTGCGGTTGGAGTCCCAGACCCAGTGGCTTAAACTCACGCCGGGCGCATGTGCGTGCGTGCCCAAGATCCTGAGAGGAGAATGGAGGAGAAGGGATTGCAGCATGGCCATTCTCCTGGGGGATGACTTCTTGCTTTCTGTCTCTCTGTCTCTCTCTGTCTTTCTGGCGAGTTCACATGCCCTATAGCAAAAATCTCTCCAAAAAAAAAAGAGAGAGAGAGAGCAAAAATTATGCATGGATTTCACTTCACTTTTTTTTGCACCAAAATAAACTCATACCTTAATGCCACTTTCCATGAACTTTTCAAAGTCTCCTTTTATCAATAACTATGGTATCCTTCATGAAAGAATAACCTGAAAAAATGTGCTAGTATAGATTGGGTTCTTTGGATTTTTCTAGTCACCCAGGCAGAAAACTTTGGTCCAGAGGCCCCCACCCCAGAGTGTTAGAAATTGCAGTTAGGGCTGGCTCTGTGACAAAGTGACAATACACTGCTCAGGAAAACCTGGACCCCACATGGTGACTGGGTTTGAATCTCCAACCCAGTTAACCCAGAACAGGCTGGGCATGTGCTTGAATAGCCAAGAACCAATAGGCTGGAGGTCTGGAGGAAGGGGATTGCAGCAAGAGCAGACGCTGTGGAGGGTGCTCATCTCGCCCTTTCTCACTCGCGTGTGTATGCACATGCTCTATCATGAATAGAGAAAAAGCGTCTTATTTTATTATTTTTTTCCTACTGGCAAAAGGCACATGCACTCACCAGAGAGAGAGAGAGCGAGATAAAGAACCCTCAATGGATTGTGATCATGCTGCAATTCTTTTCCCCTCTATTTCTCCATCCCAGCAGGATTTGGGGCACACAAGCACATATGCCCAGTGTTTTTTTGTTTTGTATTGTTTTTGTTTTTTTTACTTTCTTTTAGGTTTTTGCCATAGGACACATGCACTCAACAGAGGGAGACAGAGAGAGTGAGGGAAAGTGAGAAATCACCCCCCCCCGCCCCTGCGCGGGAGGGCGAGGGTGATAGCCATGCTGCAATCTCATCACCACTCTCCTCCGGGGATTTTTGGGCATGTACCCACACATGCATGGCATGATTTTCAAGCCTCCTGGTCCAAGGCTTGAACTGCAGACTGTCTAACTCCTTAATCGCCACTCCACCTGTATGGCCTTGCCCAGTATGTTTTTCAAGTTACCAGGTTGGGATTCGAAGTGGAGTCCACCACATGGGGTCTGGCTTTCTATGCACAGGGCTTAACAACTGGGGGTCCATTCAGGAAAAGAAAAAAGAAAAAAAAACAATTGTTTTGGTTACCTGCTTTGGCCCTCAAGAAACACCGGACGGGGAGGAGGAGGAGCATGGGCTGACTCCCTTGCTGCCTAGTCCCAGAAGCCGAGACACATGGTCACAGCACTGCATTCCCCCCACATTTCCGAGGAATGCCCCTTATCCTGGGGGTTACACATTTTGGGTGTTTGAACTGCTGAGATGTAAAATAGGAGAGGGAAAATCTTTTCTTATATCAACATGGACAATGATTATACAAATATTTGTGTCTGTGTGTTTTGTTTAGATATAAACCCTCGGAAGAATTTCTTAATGCATGCCGGGCACTGAGCCAACATCTGCTGGAAACTGGGACCCCCACCGACCAGCTCTTGGTATTCCAATTTTTCTTTGTCCTGGAAAGATTTCTGTTCTGTTTAAGTTGTTAACACCTATAACAATGACAATGGCAACAATGGTTGGCTTTGGTCCCTCGCCTGAGGCAGCAGTGTGAGTGTGCGAGCAAGAGTCCTTCCTCTGGGTGTTCTCTCCTCTGCCCAGACGTGGCTGCCTGAGGCGATGGGTTATGCTGAGAAAGCAGAACCGATCAATACGCCCAAGCGGGGCCAAGGCTCAGAGGCGGTAACCAAGCACTACTGGGCATCGCACAGGGCGCATGTCATCAAACTCTGTTGGCTTAGGTTCAGGGTTGCCCTGTGGTTTGAGAGAACTGTAAGTAGAGCATTAATAGCATGTGGCATGGAGACTGTGGGTTCTATTCCCAGGACCCTCATCTGTGAGATGGTGAGCAAGCCAGTTTCCCCATCAATAAGATGAGGGTGGTGGGCAGCATATCACTATGACCTTCAAGCCCTGAAATTTCATTCTGTGGCTGTAGAGTTTTTCTTTAAACATACCTATGGGGCCAGCAGGTAACATGGTGGTTAAGGCACTGGAATTCCCATATGGCAAACAGTGGTTCAAGTCCTAGACCTGGTGGCTTGCTTTCTCACTTTCCCTCTCTCTCTCTGTTTGTCTCTGGCAAAACCTGTGCGAAAAAAATAATTAAATAAATAATTCTTAAAAAAAAAAAAAAGAAAAGAAAAGAAAAGGGAACCAGCAGTTAGCATAATGGCTATGTCGCTGGACTCCCACGTAGTCGACCGTGGTTCGTGTCCTGGACCCGGTGGCTTAGAACTCACGCCGGGCACATGTGCGTGCATGCCCAAGATCCCGAGAGGAGAATGGAGGAGAAGGGATTGTGGTGTGACCATCCCCCCTGGGGGGTGATTTCTCGCTTTCTGTCTCTATGTCTCTCTCTGTCTATCTGGCGAGCGCACGCGCCCTATAGCAAAAAAAAAAAAAAAAAAAAAAGGAAAGAAATTATTAAAAAATAATAATAATAAGTACCTATGGGCCGGGAGATGAAAACCGAGAAACTACACCTGTGTACACCTTCACACCGTGATGGCCCACAGACATTTAAACAGAGTGATTGGGTTCTGCTTTTAAAAAAGAGACACTGAGGACCAGCAATTAAAAGAGACACTGAGGACCAGCAATTAGCATAATGACTGTCGCTGGACTCCCATGTAGTCGACCACAGTTCGAGTCCTGGACCTGGTGGCCTAAACTCACACCGGGCACGTGTGCATGCGTGCCCAAGATCCCGAGAGAAGAATGGAGGAGAAGGGATTGCGGCGTGACCATCCCCTCTAGGGGGTGATTTCTCGCTTTCTGTCTCTGTTTTTCTCTGTCTTTCTGGCGAGTGCATGCGACCTATAGCAAAAACCTCTCCAAAAAAAAAAAAAAAAAGAAAAGAAAAGAAAAGAAAAGAAAAGAAAAGAAAGATAAAAGAGATACTGGCACAGACTCATTTCCCCCAATTAGGACCACAACTGTAAACCCAAAGTGGGACAAACTAGAAGCATTTTTGAAACCCACTTTGTTCCTCCTCTGCAGAAAAGCCTAGGAATGACAACAACTCATTCAATAGTGCTCGCTATGTGCCCGGCCCATTTTCCATTGTTTTACCTTAGCCAATCTGGCAAATAGCTGCTCTCAGATCTTTAAAGAACCAAATGCAATGTGGATGTTGATCCAAACTCCTGCCTACTTACTCTTAAATGAATTATGAAACCAAGTTCTTCCTCAGATCTTCATTGAAAATCCACCATTTCTTGATTTTAAGATCTTTCCTCAGATTTTCTTGAAGATTCCATGGGTAAAGGAGACATTTATATTAAATTATTTCCTGGTCATTCTGGTTCAGCCAGTGGTGTGATGGTTAAGGTGGCTGGATCTCAGGTGGCTGACTTCCATGGTTTAAGGCCTGATGGCTTGAAAACCATGCCAGGCATGCATGTGCACCCAAAACCCCGAAAGGAGAAGTGGAGGAGAGGGGATAACAGCATGGCCATCCCCCATGGGGGTTGCTTTCTCACTTTCTCTTTCTCTCTCTGTCTCATTCCTACAAACACATGTGCCTTCTAGCAAATTAAAAAGATAAATAATCAAATCCCACTCGTCCCCTTTGGGAAGGAGGTAAATAATCTAAGCATGCTCCACTTAAACATTTATTTCTCATCATGTCACACACAAAGTCGGTGTCGCTGGCTCTGGAAGTCTTCTCACTCATGGTTCCAGAGGTGCTGAATACTCCAGATGGGTGTTCCTGCTAGGGGTTCTTCAACTGCTTACTTGGAAAGTCCTAGCAAAGTTTCAAAAGCCAAAAATAATTCAAGCCGCCTGTTTAGGTTGTATTTTGAGCATAATAGGGTATGTTGTTTGTCTTAACTTTGAGTGCTTTTTGTTTGTTGTTTTTTGCTATAGCACATGAGCTCTTGCTGGATAGACAGAGAGAGAAAGTGAAAACCGCCTCTCAGTAGGGATGGCCATGCCGCAGTTCTCCCTCCATTCTCCTCTGAGGATTCTGGGTAGGCATACACATCAGCCTGACATGTTTTCAAGTTGCCCAAGTCCAGGACTCAAACCACAGGGTTGGCCATGCAGGATCTAGCGCCTGAACCACTATGCCACCTACTGACCTCAGTGTGCATTTTTGAAATGCCAGTGGATATGTGCATGTACCTGGATGAGGCTAGGGGGAAGCAACCCTCCACAGAAGCTGCACACTGCAAACCTTTTCCCTCCCATTCTCCATCCCGCCAAGATACTGAGCTGTCCTGCACCCCCTATGTCTAAGCCACTGGGGCTGGGATTCCAAACCTGGTCAGCCACCTAGGATCCAGCTTCCTGTGCACAGCACTGAGCTGCTTTGCTACGGAGCTGGCCTGCACTTTTTCTGTTAGTGGCATGTTGCAGCTTTCCAACGGTGACTGTTAGGAACATGTGAGAGTCCTGGCAGAGGCTGAGGCGAGGCCATTATAGGCTGACTGTGAGCATGACAGAGGGTCTTAGTCATCGTGCCCATTCACAGGAGGTGATCTGAATTCGCAGACCACCTCTGAGTAACGGGCTTTGTCACCAGTGACTGTGCTGTCCTCCCAGTCCTCTTTGCCACCTCAATGGAGGCCAGTCACACAGGTAAAGTGTATATTACTGTAAGGTACTGCTTCCCCCACTCAACAGCTCGGAACACTTCAGGAAAAATATCACAGAGGGAGCTGGTGGGAGGCAAAGGGCCAGATGGAAACGTCTGGAGTCAGGAAGGAGCCAGGCCAGAGAACCTCTTACAGTTGGAATCTTTGGGGGTTTCAGAGGCAGAGCTTGAACGCCATCAGTCAAGAGTGGTTCCGTGTCTCCAGCCGGAAGTCATCCAGCCCTGATGTGGTGGCCGCCTACCTCCGGGGGGTCCAGCCTCTCTCCCCACAGTTCCTGAAGCTGCTCGTCAACCTGGCTGATCGCAATGGGAACACAGCCCTTCACTACAGCGTGTCCCACTCCAACTTCTCCATCGCGAAGCTGCTGCTGGACACAGGTCAGAAATGGCTGCATCCGGATGGTCTGGGGCCTTCCTTGAGGGGGAATTCTTGCAGCATGGCATGGAAATCCTTTTTGCCTGTAGCATATCATTTATTTTTCACAACACTCCTAGGATGTGGTTATCATTATTCTCATGCTGCAGTTGAGGACACTGAGGCTCAAGAGTTCTAAGACTTGTTAGGTCACAGTGCTGGTAAGTGGAGGAGTCAGATTTGGTATTAGGTCTGTCCAGCTCTACTTCTGTCCCACATTGACTATAGGGAAGGTCACAGTTTCTGGACTTCATCACACACCTTTTTTAAAAAAGTCATTTCTTGGGACCAGTAGTTAGTGTAATGGCTATGTCGCTAGACTCCCACGTAGACGACTGCGGTTCAAGTACTGGACCCGGTGGCTTAAACTCGTGTGCATGCGTACCCAAGATCCCAAGAGGAGAATGGAGGAGAAGGGATTGCGGTGTGGCCATCCTCCCTGGGGGGTGATTTCTCGCTTTCTATGTCTCTGTCTCTGTCTGTCTGGTGAGCGCACGCGCCCTGTAGCGAAAACCTCTCCCAAAAAAATCATTTCTTTATTTAATTGTATTTGTTATTATTATTTATTATTATTTTAAAGAATTATGTAACTTTATTTACTTATTTTAATTTGACTAGAGAGGGACAGAGTGAGAGTGAGAGAGAGAGAGAGAGAGAGAGAGAAAGTGAGAAAGCAAGCCACCAGGTCTGAGACTTGAACCATGGTCAGCCATGTGGGAGTCCAGCGCCCTTAACCACCACACCACCTGTTAGCCCCTATTATTATTATTATTTTAATTTGACCAAAGAGACAGAGAGAGAGAGAGAGCAAGAGAAGGGGAAAGTGAGGAAGCAAGCCATCAATTCTGGGACTCGAACCGTGATTAGCCATGTGGGAGTCCAGCACCTTAATCACCATACCACCTATCGGCCTCCCATCACACACCTTTTAAAAAAAGCCATGACTCCCTTTGGCCAGCTTAACTCCATTTGACTCATTCATCCTTCACCAGATCTTTATTTATCACACATGAGGTCCATATTGGTTACAAAAGTGCAAAGGCGATTCAGCTGTGACCCCTCTGCTTCCCAGGAGGAATCTCTAAGTATCATGACGGGGAAGGATGTGGGCTCATAAGAGACACAGACTGTGATGGAGGTGCTCAGAAGAAGTGAGATCAGGACCCATTCAAAAGAACAGCCATGGTACACCGGAGTGATAGGGTCCCAGCAGGCTGAGCAATGTCCCAGGTGGGGAGGACACCACAGTGGCTGAGAAAGGAAAAGGTGCCCAAAGACAGAAGGCAACCGGTTTGGAAAGATGTGAGTGAAGGTGTTTCCCTCCCTTCCAGTCCTGTTGGCCTAAAGCTCACCAAGCTCATTCCTTCCTAGGACTTCTGCTTTTCGTTAAATCTGGACTCTCCCCTGAAACTCTTCTTTATGACTGGTTCGTTCTCATCGTTCATGTCACAGCCCAAATGCTACTTCCTAAGATGTTTTCCTGGTGACTCTAAAATAGCTACCCCTCATCTCTCTAGAGGGACACCCTAATTCTTCCTTTAGATGATAATTGCTTGTCAGTCTACCTTGTGCAATGTCGGAAATACAGGATACCTGAACATGTTTGTTGGCTGAGAAAAAGAATCTAAGAAAGGGAGGGGCAGAGAGAATCAGAGAGAGACAGAGAAAGGCAGAGATACAGAGAATGAGAGAAATAGGACAGTCATCAGGGCTCTGTCTCCTTTCTTCTGTATTCCCAGTGCCTAGACCAGCTCCTGGCTCTTAGTAGGTGTTGAGTGAATCTGCAAATGAGTGGGTAATGGATAATCCCCTGGAGCTAGGTTGAGTTCCAGTGACCTCCCAGTTCTTCTAGACTCTGCTAAAACTCTGAACAGGGTAGTTGACCAACATAGTGACTGCCTAAATTTCATTCTGATTCTTGCACTATCAAGAGAAGATTGCATTACAGTTCTTTTTATTTTTTATTTAACGTTTATTTATTTATTTATTTATTTAAATTTGACCAGAGAGGGACAGAATAAGAGAGAGAGACAAGGAAAGTGAGAAAGCAAGCTACCAGTTCTGAAAATCAAACTGCGGTCAGCCATGTGAGAGTCCAGTGCCCCCAACCACCATGTCACCTGCCAGCCCTGAGATTACATTATGGTTCTAACACTGAGACCATTTTATTTTATTTCAGTGCTTCATAGTTACCATCAAAATGGTAGATCAACTGAGAAGGCCACACAATTAAATAGAACATGCCTCTGTGGTCTGTTTCTTCTGTTCCATGTAAGGGGCCTGCAGTTTAAAATGTGAATGCAGAGACCAGCAGATGACATAATGGTTATGTCGCTGGACTGTCACATAGTCGACTGCAGGTTGAATCCCAGACCCAATGGCTTCAAACTCATGCCAGGTATGTGTGCATGCATGCCCACCCAAAATCCCGAGAGGAGAATAGAGGAGAAGGGATTGCAGCATGGCCATCCCCCTGGGGGGTGATTTTTCGCTTTCTGTCTCTGTCTCTCAGGCAAGTGAGTGTGCCTTATAGCAAAAATCTCTCAAAAAAAAAAAAAAAGAGAGAGAGAAAGAAGAAAGAAAGAAAAAGAAAATAAATAATAGAATGGGAATGCAGCAGCTTCTGGGTTTCTAGCACCTTCCCCACCCCATCCCAACCCTGGGCTAGGGATGATGTGCATATACATACTATCACATCCAATCCTTGCAGGGATTGCAAAGCGGGTACTAATCACATGTATCAAATGAGAAACTTGAGGGTCAGAGATGTCAAATAATGTGGCCAAGGCTGCAGAGCCAGGAAGTAACCCGAACGTAAACCAGGGTCTGTCACTCCCAATCTGGCTTGTTCTACTACCCCAATCTAGCTTTCAGGGCATGGTGAGCCTTTGGAAGCACCTCTTTGTTAATTTTTTTTTAGAGAGATTTTTACTATAGGGTGTATGTGCTCACCGGAGAGACAGAGACAGGAAGACAGAAAGCAAGAAATCATACCCCTCCCCCCCAGGGGACATGGCCACACCACAATCCCTTCTCTTCCATTCTTCTCTTGGGATTTTTGGCACACATGCAAATGTACTGGCATGCTTTTCAAGCCACTGGGTCCAGGAGTCAAACTGTGGAGTTGGCCATATGGGATCCAATGCCTTAACCATCACACCACATGCTGGTCCTCTCCCTCCATTTGTCAAATAAGATAGTTACTTCTGGAAGATTTCCCGTGTGTATCCTGTGTTGTCTTTCATGCATCTGATCCATTACACAGCAGATCACTAGGCCCTTGGAAAGGACCTATAAATACAACCACCAGCTTAAAAGTTATACCCAGACATGAGATGGTGAGCGTGAAACCTAAAATGCACATTGTGGTGGTGGGTGGTCAGGTGAGTGATGTGCTCTAGAGGTGGACAGACCTGAATGTGGGTCCCTCTTCATCTTTCTCATGAATGTTTATGTAACTTCTCTGACTATCAGTGTCATCTGTAAAATGGGAATAATGTCTCATGCTCCAGGTTAGAAAATGAAGTCATGATCATTGGACCTTTGGCTGTTTCTGTCTCTGTTGTGGACCCCCTTAGCTGAGTATCTTCAGAAATCTTATAAATAAATTAGTAGCCAGTTCAAAGCTGCTGAAACTATAAACGACTGGTTCCACCACTGTGGAAAGGCTCTATGTCATGGCCTTTTAACCAGCAGACAGCATCCTCTTGAACTGACTTATGGAGTCTGGCTTCTGATTGCTTGAAAGCTGTCCCAGTGCCCATTGCTCCTCTTACAGGCGTCTGCAATGTGGACCATCAGAACAAAGCTGGCTATACTGCTGTCATGATCACTCCCTTGGCTTCTGCAGAGACCGATGAAGACATGGCTATTGTCTGGAATCTCTTAAGAGAAGGAAATGTGAACATCCAAGCAACTCAGGTAGGTGTTGCAAACACAATCTCCTCTTTAGGAAATGCAGGGGCACCTCCCAGTCTTATTCTACCAGTGCGATAAGAAATGCTATGCAGATCCATGTTTGGTTCTTAATCCAAGACTATGTCAGAGAGCATCCATCCAAAGTCCGAACATTTGGTTTTCCTCAAAGGCTCCTGAGACTCAGACAGGCTGGGATGGAAGCTAGTGAGTTCCTCCCCTAGGTCACCATCTGAAACTGGGCAATTCCATCTGGACTCAACCTTTCAAACCAAACATTCCCAATGTTAGCATCTTAAGATATTTTCCACTTGGCTGTGCTAAGAAAGTCTCCATAGGTGACCCACCTTGATCATGAACCACAGGCAGGGTGCTCATTGGAGGTCCAATCCTTAAAGAAGTTCTCACTTCTTTTTTATTTTTTAAGATTTATTTATTTATTTATTTAATTCCATTTGTTATTATTATTTTAATTTGACCACAGAGAGACAGAGAGAAAGGGAAAGTGAGAAAGCAAGCTGCCAGGTTTAGGAATTAAACCATGGTTGGCCATGTGGGAGTCCAGAACCTTCACTACCATGCAACTTGTTGGCCCCAAGAAGTTCTCACTTCTGTCATCCCTTCTCTCACCCAAACATTTTAATGAAGTCATGAATTCCCGCCCTGATGAAGACAGAAATGTCTGCCAGGGAGGTCAGGCACTTTCTTTAGTCAGTCCTAGGGGTTGTGTAGATCCCTCTTTCCCAGGCCCAGCTTAGCCCCGAGACTTATTATAAAGATCTGCTGGTGAAGGATCAACCTACCTGGCATACCTCCTCAGTCCTTACACTAACCAGATCTCCAAACACTCCTGCCTTCCCTACCCACCCCACCACCCAGAGTGAGTGACGCTATTCTGGGCACACAAATTATACCCCAGTCCCCAGGAGCTGGGCCCAGTGGGAAGAGCAATTGCTGCTGAGAGAGAGTCAGTACCAGCCTGTTACCCAAATGTAGTAGCAAAAGAGTCAGGACATGTGACTCCACTAATTCCCTGGGTCACCTTGTGTCTCATATCAGAAGGGCACCTAGGTTTACCCCATATTCTTTTGCAAAATTCTTCCACATGGTCTCCAGCTTCTTCATGGTAGTTTCCTGCTCCCTGACCTCTGGTGCCAAGAAACTCATGCTCTACCAAAGTAAACCATGTGTTACTCTGGACAGCTCTGACAACTTTTTTTTTTTTTTAATTTTTAAGGTATTATTTATTTAACTTTATTTATTCATTCATTCATTTTTAACTTGACCAGAGAGAGACAGAGAGAGAGAGAGAGAGAGAGAGAGAGAGAGAAGATGAGAAAGCAAGCCACCAAGTCCGGGACTCAAACTGTGGTCGGCCATGTGGGAGTGTCCAGTGCCTTAGCCACCATGCCACCTGCTGGTCCCCTCTGACAACTTTTTAAACTGAGCCCAAACTGGATACTCTGAACCTTTTCTTTTTTCTTTATTTTACGTTCATTCACTGAACATCATCACAGCATACAAAATGCGATTTCCCATTCAAAACAAACTGTATATTGGCTTAATCATACATGTTATCATCAACAAATAATTTTCCATTTCTCATTTCTTATATCTTTTTTTTTATTCCCTATTTCTCAGCCTCTGCCATTTCCCACTCTCCTCCCACACTGTCTCTGGTATTTACAGTTGCTTTCCATTCCTTTTTTTTCCTTACATTTTATTGATTCACAAAATATCTTAATTAAGCTAAATACTTTCAATAGCAAGTTCAGCTGATATATACATATCTATGAACACATGTCTGACTTTAGGCGTGAAAGTCCGTGAATAGAATGAATGTACTATAAAGTAGCACCTAGCTGAGGCTACATAGTTTGCTGTGATCATTAAATAGTTGTTTAATTTTTTTTTTAATTTCAAGAAAAGCAGTTTTAGCTTTAATAAACCAAAATTTAAAAAATGCTAAGAGAAATTTGCTCAAGACTTAAAGCCAGGAAACAGGTTAGGATTCTGTTCAAATAGTAGGTATATGAACCTATCAACAGCTCAAGAGAAGACAAAAATCCTTAAATCTGGGAAAAAAAAGCATAGAAAATATCAGTAATGTGGGGCTGGCAGGTGACATGGTGGTTGGGGGCACTGGACTCCCACATGGCCAACCGCGGTTCAAGTCCTGGACCTGGTGACTTGCTTTCTCACTTTCTCTCTCTTTCACTCTGTCCCTCCCTGGTCAAATTCAAATAAATAAATAAAGTTAAATAAAATAATTCTGAAAGTAAATTTTTTAAAAATCAGTAATGTTTTAGCCCAAAGTCATAAAATTCTATTTCACCAGTTCAGCCTCATGTAATTAATCTCTCTTCTGTTGTGGTTCAATTTTTCCATTTAAATTCTGGAAGATAACATTCAACTCTGGAATTGTCCCTACCATTAAGTTGGCCATTTTCTTAGTTGTCTTTGAACTCTTATTTCTGTGTGTCTATATTTAGTTTTCCTGGTACAGCACTATGTTTAGAAAATCTTGGAGAGCTGGTCTGGTGTTGGTAGACTTTTTCAGGTTTTGTTTATCTGAGAATGTCTTTGTCTTTTCTTCCCTTATGAAGAACAATCTTGCCAGATATAGTATTCTTGGTTGAAATTGTTTTTCACTTAACACTTTGAGTATATTTTCCCATTCTTTCCTTGCTCACGTTGTTTCCAATGAGAGGTCCACTGTTAGCCTGGTGAGATATCCTTTGTAAGTAACTTGGCATTTCTCTCTTGCCAATTTTAGTATCTTGTCTTTGTGGTTTTGGTCAATCTGGCTATACTGTGTCTTGGAGAAGATCTTCTTGGGTTGATTCTATTTGGGGTCCTTTGTATTTCTTGGGTCTGGGTCTTTGAATGCCTCTCTAGGTTTGGAAAGTTTTCTTCCAGGATTTCATGGAATAGATTATCAATGCCCTTATTAGTCTCTTCACATTCTGGGATACCAATTATCCAGATGTTTGGACATATAATGGTATCTAGTATTTCTCATATATTTTTCTCTTTTTGGGGGCTATTTTCTCAGTCTTCATGGTGAATTTTTCTAGGGCAGAGATTCTGTCTTTTACATCTGAAATTTGATCTTCTGTATGTTCTAATCTACTTTTAATACTTTCAATGGAGGTTTTGATTCCCTTCATCTCTAACAGTTCCATTTTATTCTTTTTTTTATGGTGTATATTTCCTCTTTCAGATAGTGTAAGAACTTCCTCACCTCCTGGAACTCACCGACTCTTTTCTTCTGCATCTTCTAGAGTTCATTTCTCTCTTCTCTTGCATCTCTGTTAGCTTTGTCACCATGAATATTCTAAATTCTTTATCAGTCATTTCCATGAGTTCCATTGTACTGTCTGTGGATGAAGAGTTGTTCTTTTCCTTTGGGGGAGAGGTATTTTCTTGGTTTCTCATATTTCTTGTGCCTCTGTGGTGATTTCTCGTCATCTTATGGGTTATTCATTTCTTCCTAATTTCTTGAAGTTTAATCTGAGTGTTCAGAGGCATGCAGGAGGAGGTGATCTGCAATCTCTCTGCAGTTTTGTTTTAATCCCACTCTCTAGATTGGGGTCTGGATGGTGAAGTCTCAGCAGAAAGTCAGCAGTTTTAGTCCCTGGAAAGAATAGTTCACAGCACAAATGCAGGGGTCTTTGAACCTTTTCTTAGAGTATTTAAGTAGAAGTACTTTGAGATTCACATCAAGAAAGATCTTATAGATAAGCAGCTCAGAAAGTTAGGAATTCTCTGTTCAGCATTGAGGCTTCTCTTTTTTGAGAACACAGGCTGGGTTGAGGTCCTTACCCTGTAGGGCTTTTAGTTGAATAAGGCTCCAATTGGAACAATGGGGACATCTCAAAAGATCACTTGCCCATGTTTGCATATAGAGGAACAAGTAGAGTGCATTTAACTCTCCTTTCCCCATGGAGTGTTCATAGATGGTAGTGTCACTATCAAGAACTATCCTCCATTAAAGCTAACAAGTTAACCTACTACAGTTTCATGAGTGCTGAAAGAAGACATGAGACTTCTGTGCCAGAGACAAAGATGATGTATTACCCACAGTAGTTGCAATAGCCACAGTAATACCACTGCCCAAATCCCAGTTCACATAGGGTGGTGTGAAGAAGGTCAGAAACCCATACAGAAGAGGAACCCTGAACTTCAGGAACTTGAACATTTTATTTTATTTTTAAAAATTTATTTATTTAAAGAGATTTTTGCTATAGTGTGCAATCACTCACTGGAGAGACACAGAAAGTGAGACAGAGAAACAGAAAGCAAGAAATCACCCCCTGGGGGAGCGGCCATGCTGCAATCCCTTCCCTATTCTCCTTTTGGGATTCTGGGCATGCACACACATGCACCAGGCATGAGTTTCAAGCTGCTGGGTCCAGGATTTGAACTGTAATTGACCATGTGGGAGTCCAGTGATGTAACCATTAGGCCATCTGCTGGTTCCACCTGGACATTTTATAATGGACACTAAGCAAGCCTGCCTTTTTCTCAAAGGGAGGCATTATTTCTATCTTCCAAAGCTATTCATTGTGTAAAGTTTCTTTAAAAGCTGGGCTAGAACAGAAGAGCAGATTCTTGTGCGTTTTACTCACATAGGTAAAAGATCCATAAAAAATTGACTCAACAATATATTTACTCCACTTTCCTTCATTTCTCTCCTTACAACTCCCTTTACAGCAATTGCAAACCTTAGCCTAACTCAATGGCAAAGTCACTTTGCACACTTTGTCGGATAGCAACCCCACAGATGGCAAGAAACAAACATTTGTAGATCATTTTCTGGTTTTCAAAATATGTTCACCCAGCCTGACCATGGCGGTGCAGCTGTACCACTCTGCTCTGCAGTGCTGGAAGCCATGTGGAAGATCGGGGTTCAGTTCCCAGGTTAACCTGTGCCTGCTGGGTGTGCGTGCAACATGCCTGTGACCCTGCCTGGCTGGGAAAAGCTGGAGGAGGATCACAGCATGAGACCCGGTTGAGGGTGCTTGTCTTCCTCTCTTCCCTTCTCTTTCTTGTCCTCTCAAAAAAATAAATAAATAAATACATTTTTTAAAAAAGTATTTTTATGGGACAGCAGGTGCTGTAGTGGTGAAGATGTTGGACTCCCACATGGCTGACCACGATTTGAGTCCCAGACCTGACAGCTTGAAAAGTCATGCCTGGTGTGTGTGCATGCATGCACAAAATCCCAAGAAGAGACTGGAGGAGAAGGGATTGCAGTTTGGCCAAGTGATTTCTCACTTTCCCTCTCCCTGTATCTCTCTCTGGCAAGAGCACACACCGTATGACAAAAACCTTTAAAAAAATGTAAAATAAACAGAACATATATATATATAAGAATTTTTTAATTTAACTTTATTTGTTTGAGAGAAAACAAAAGTGAGAGAGCAAGTTGCCAGATCTGGGACTTGAACCGTGGTCAGCCGTGTGGGAATCTAGTGCTTTTAACCACCATGCCACCCAGCAGCCACAGAATATATATATATTTTAAAGTATTTTTTACCCATCTGTAATTCCTATTCCATAAGGCTCGATACAGCTATTTTAATTTTAAATAATATGTTTCCCACACACGTTCACTTTTTTTCTAAACTGACTCTTATGCCAGAGGAGATGTGCTCCGATGATTAAAATCAACCCTATCGGGAACCAGCAGTTAGCGTAATGGCTATGTTGCTGGACTCCCGCGTAGTCGACCACGGTTCGCGTCCCGGACCCGGTGGCTTAAAACTCACGCCAGGCACTTGTGCGTGCGTGCCCAAGATCACGAGAGGAGATTGGAGGAGAAGGGATTGTGGCGTGACCATCCCCTCTGGGGGGTGATTTCTCGCTTTGTGTCTCTCTGTCTCTCTCTGTCTGTCTGGCGAGTGCACGCGCCCTATAGCGAAAAACCTCTCAAAAAAAAAAAAAAATCAACCCTATCTTTCTACGGAGGAAAAACTGATCCTCTGCTAAGGTAAGGGACTCATGTGAAGTCAGCAAGCAGGCACAAGAGTTCACAGCTGCAGCCATGCCCTTCGGCTCCCCCTGGGACCTTTACAAGAAAGCAGACGTAGAGGTGCCAGGTTAATCCAGAATGACTTAGGAGTCTTCTACACTTAAACCACTTATTTTTCATTGTTTCCCCAGGGTCAGCGCAGTGCCTGGCATAGAGTTGCACTCTGTACATGATGGTTAGATTATAAATTGTGTTGAACTGAACCAGGAGGAAGGTGAGGAAGAAGGGGGCCCTGAGTCAGGCAGAGAGACTGGAGTACAGACAGTCTGCCTGTCATCTGGTTTTAATAACTGTTGGAGCCAGGGGTCTGGATAGAAACCTTGTGGTCTGGTTAGCCCAGTAAACAACCATTACCCTAGGGCTGAGTAAAGGCAAACAGGCTTCTCTGGAAAGATCTATCTGGGTTCCAGAGAACTAGGAAACCAGGATGCCTACTAACACAGCCCCATGTACTGCACACCCACCATGTGCCCAGCCCGTGTCTTGCACTGTCGCCAACCCTCATAGTGATAATAACAGCTAACGCTTACTGAGCCCTTGGTAAGCACTTGAGTCTTGCCGCATCCCATGAGGCAGGTAACACTGGCAGCCACTCCTGTTTCACCGAATCGGGAAAGTGTCACTTGCACACGGTCGCATAGGTACCAAGTGACAGAGCTGGAAGTGTTCTGATTCCAAGTCCGCTTTCTTTTCCCTAAGCCCCAGCATTGTGGGCAGGGAAGCATAACCCATTAGTGATGGCGGAGTGGAGTTGCAGTTGGTCAGCACCTCAGCAAGCATGTCTCCAGCACTTTTTTTAGAGATTTTTGCTATAGTGCACGTGCACTCACCAGAGAGCGGGAAAGCAAGAAATCACCTCCCAGGGGGGATGGCCACACCACAATCCTTTCTCCTCCATTCTCCTCTAGGGATCTTGGGTACACACACACACACACACTTGCCTGGTGTGAGTTTAAGCTGCCAGGTCAGGGACTCAAACTGTGGTCAACTATGTGGAAGTCTAGATGTAACCATTCCGCCACCTGCTGGTCCTGACCCCAAGAGTTTTAAGATGCCAGGTCTGGGACTCAAACTGCGGTTGGCCATGTGGGAGTCCAGTGCCTTAGTCACTACATCACCTGTGGCCCCTCCAGCACTTTATACACATAAATTGTTACATTCAGAGCCAGGGGACATCTGAAAGGAGCGAAAACATGTCCTTGCTTTTTTCTTGCAACCTGACTGAGCCTGGTCTCCCATCAGAGAGACAAGTCAGATCTGCCTAGAACCCAGGAGGACCGTGAAGGCAAATATAGCGAAGTCACAAGAGAGAACTATTGGAAAATATAAGATTGTGTATAGTAAATACAAGAGAAATGATGGTCAATGTGTAACCAGAAACATTACCACCATACGTTGTGTATTAATCTCCTTCATCTCAGTTGATTTCTACAAAAACCCTGTAAGGTACACAGGACAGATCATTATTATATTAATTTTTTAGGGAAAAAAAAAAAAAACTAGCCCAGCCTCTGTAGCACATGTTGGATGCTCCTCCTTTGCAGGCTGAGGACAGATGGGTTCAATTCCCAGTCCACCTAAAAGCTGGGCTCAGTGGTGTGAGCTTGTAGTCCCAGCTACCAAAGAGGCTGAGGCAGGAAGATCGTGACACGATGAAACCCCATCTAAAATTAATAATAGTAACAACCCACACGTGTGAGTGCTCATACAAAGGAAGGCAGGCAGGCAGGCAGGCAGGCAGGCTAAGGTTCAGGAAAGAAACGACGTGGCCAGGGCCGCCCACTACTAAGCAGCAGAGCTAGCGCTTGGACTAGTGCTTTCTGACTGTCCATCTAGGTCATCACTACACCCACCGATGATAATAGGGCTGTAAAAAAGTATTGTTAATTGCTGCAGATTAGAAATGATCACGGGGGTACCAGCAGATGAAGTAGCAGTTACATCACTGGAGTCCCACATAGTTGACCGCCGTTCAAGTCCAGGACCCAGCAGCTTAAAACTCACGCCAGGCATATGTGTGTGTGTGTCCAAAATCCCAAGAGGAGAATGGAGAAGGGATTGCAGCATAGCCATCCCCCAGGGGGGTTATTTCTCACTTCCTGTCTCTCTAACTCTCTCTGTCTCTCTAGTGAGTATACACACCCTAGAGCAAAAAACTCTCTCAAAAAAAAAAAAAAAAAAAAAGGAAAAAGAAAAGAAAGAAAAAAAAAGAAATGATCACAGGGGAGCCAGCGCATGGGCTGGTGGTTAAGGGTGGTAGACTCCACATGGTCAACCACGTGGCTGGAATCCCAGTCCCAGTGGCGTGGGAAGCACACTGGGCATGTGTGTGGGTGCACAGTTCCCAGCAGGATGAGGACACGGAGAAGAAGGGATTGCAGCATGACTGTGCCCACTGGAGGGTGCTTTCTCCCTCTCCCTCCCTTTTTGTCTGTCTGTCTCTCACTGGCAGACACACCCAGGGGCAAGAAAAAAGAAAGAAACAGGGACATGCAAACAGAGAGCTTGTTGAGATGACAAAGCCCTGAGTACCATTAAACTGCAAAGGTGTGGAGCAGACCAGGCTTTCTGGAGAAGGTCTGGCCAGGCAGACATTAGAAGCCATAGTCTGACACGTGCAGCCGTCACCTGTCTCATCATTCCCTGTTTATCAGCACTCACTGGGTGCTAGGCACTGAGGAGACAGAGACAAAAAAAGACTTAATCTCTGCCAGTAGCAACTTCTTTTCTTTCTCTTCTAAAATTTATTTATTTATTTTTGAGAGACTTTTGCTATAGGGCATGTGTGCTTGTTGGAGAGACAGAGGCAGAGAGACAGAAAGTGAGTAAGCCTCCCCTGGGAGGAGTCCATGCCGCAATTCCTTCTCCTCCATTCTCTTCCTCGGAGGTTAGGGATGTACGCACATGCACCAGGCGTGAGTTTCACGCTGCCATGTCCTGATTCAAACCGCAGTTGGTCATATCCTTAACCACTCCGCCACCTGCTGGCCGCACCATGGCAATGTCACAGTCCATGAGAAAGAGGGAGTGACAAACTGCAGTCCCACGTGGTGAGTGCCGTGTTAGGAATCCTGTGCCTGGGGAGTGAGGGAAGACTTAGAGGGGATGGGACATTTGACTAGTGTCTTGGAAGAGGAGAAGTTTCCCGCAGAGGAGGCTCAGTCCACAGTCCCATACCGAGGGCAGGAGAGTCACATCAGTAGTTATTTCTCTGAGAAGTCTCTGAGCACACCCAGGCTGGAGAGGGCCCTTCCCGGCCGGCAGCAACCTCACCACATCCCTGTGCTCTGTGTGCAGGGAGGCCAGACTGCGCTGATGCTGGGAGTCAGCCACGACCACGAGGACATGGTCCAAGCGCTTCTGAGCTGCCAGGCAGATGTCAACCTGCAGGACCACGAAGGCTCATCGGCCCTCATGCTGGCCTGTCACCACGGCAACGTGGACCTGGTGCGGCTGCTCCTGGCACACCCAGGCTGTGACAGCAGCCTGACTGACAAGGTACGACTTACAGGCAATTAGCAAGGAGGTGTTACACTTCCTGTCCTGCAAAGCACATTGCCAGCCAGCATGGCGGTAGCAACAAAATCGACCTCGTAAGGCCATGGTGGGGTTTAAATGAGATGGTCCATGGTAGATGAGCAGGACCTTGGAGTGGGGAAACCCGCAACCCGTGCCTTTCACAACCCCATCCTGGGGAATGTGCCAGCTTGGCTCTGTGCCTCATCCGTCCTCAACAATGATAGCATGTGCACTTTTTAGTTGTTGTTAAAGATTTATTCATTGGGACCAGCAGATGGCATAACAGTTACATCACTGGACTCCCACATAATCGACTGCGGTACGAGTCCCGCACCGGTGGTTTAAAAACTCACACCAGGCACGTGTGCATGTGTGCCCAAGATCCCGAGAGGAGAATAGAAGAGAAAGGATTGCAGCATGGCCATCCTCCCTGGGGGGTGATTTCTTGCTTTCTGTCTTTCTGTCTCTTTCTGTCTCCCTGGCAAGTGCACATGCTCTATAGCAAAAACCTCTCTTTAAAAATATTATATATTTATTTGTATTTGTTATTATTATTTATCTTTTAATCTGACCAGAGGGAGACAGAGAGAGAGGAGAGAAAGTAAGAAAGCAAGCTGCCTAGTCCAGGACTCGAACCACAGTTGACCATGAGGGTGCACAGTCTTTCAACCACCACGTCACCTGCTGGCCCCTATAATAGCATGTGGACTTTAAAGAAAAAGTTAGGGGGGCTGGCAAGTGGCCTGGTGGTTAAGAACACTGGACTCACACATGGCCGACCACGGTCTGGGTCCCGGACCTGGTGGCTTGCTTTCTATTCTTCCTCTCTCTCTGTCCCTCTCTGGTCAAATTAAAATAAATAAATAAAGTTAAATACAATAATTGTTAAGAAAGAAAGAAAGAAAGAAAGAAAGAAAGAAAGAAAGAAAGAAAGAAAGAAAGAAAGAAAGAAAGAAAGAAAGAAAAGGGAAGGGAAGGGAAGGGAAGGGAAGGGAAGGGAAGGGAAGGGAAGGGAAGGGAAGGAAAGGAAAGGAAAGGAAAGGAAAGGAAAGGAAAGGAAAGGAAAGGAAAGGAAAGGAAAGGAAAGGGAGAGAGAAACAAAACAGCTAGGACGAGGGAACACTGCTGTCCAGTAGGGACCAGGAAGCCGGCTGAAGGAACCAGCCTTACAGAGAGCTCTGTAGTCACTAAGCTGAGAGTACTTCTCTGACACTGACCATTCAGTGGTGCTGACCATTCCATCAAACCAGCCTGCTTGAAGTCGCAGTGCCAGGCACGATGCGGGCCTCTGAGATGACTTCCTGTAGGGTGATATTGATGACGATGCTAACTACCATGTTCCAAGGGTTTACTCTGTCAGGTACTGTACTAAGCATTTTCATGAACCACCTCATTTAAATCTCACAACAGGACCAGCAGGCAGTGTGGTGATTAAAGTGCTGGAATTCCCACATGGCTGACCACAGTTCAAGTCCAGGACCTGGTAGCTGGCTTTCTCATTTTCCTTCTCTCTGTGTGTCTGTCTTTCTCTGGTCAAATTAAGACAAGTGAATGAATAAACAAAATTAAATAAGTAATTATTTTAAATAAATAGATAAATATTTAAATGCCACAACAACCTTGTGAGGTGGACTTGCTGGTACTTCGCTTGAGGAAACAGAGGCACCGAATGGCTAGATTGCAGACTGGAGATCACACAGCTGGTGGAACCCAGCTTCATCAAACCCCTTAGCCCATGCTCTGACCTGTTCTGTCTTATCACTGCGGTCACATGGGGCATCCATGCCCCTGGCTCCCTGCTGAATCCCCTGCACCTGGAAGCGTGCCTGCCACACCCCTGTGAGCGAGTCAGTGACCAAGTACATGACACTCAACTTCACAGGTGATTTTTTTTTTTTTGGAGAGGTTTTTGCTATAGGGCGCGTGCACTCGCCAGACAGACAGAGAGAGACAGAGAGACAGAAAGCGAGAAATCCCCCCCCAGGGGGGATGATCACGCTGCAATCCTTTCTCCTCTATTCTCCTCTCGGGATCTTGGGCACGCACACACACGTGCCCGGTGTGAGTTTAAGCCACCGGGTCCGGGACTCGAACCGCGGTCGACTACATGAGAGTCCAGTGACATAGCCATTAGACTAACTGCTGGTCCCTCAACTTCACAGGTAAATATCAGCAGTGACTGTTCCCAATCGCTAGAGGTAACATTCCTGGTGTATACCTGGGAACTAAACCCTTTCCGTGCATTGCTTCTAAATCTCTCAATAATCCAGTGAGATAACTGCAATCTCCTTGTTTTACTGATAAGGAAACAGGGGTCAGGAGATGTCAAATCACTGTCGGAGGGTTGCAAGGTGCTAATTCCAGAGCAGAGATTCAGGCCCGTTGGACTCCAGTATCCATAAAGCTGATACTATAATTTAATGCTTTAAAAAGACATCTGGGGGCCAGCCAGTGGCATAGTGGTTAAGGTGCTGGACTTCCAAATGGCAGACTGCAGTTTGAGTCCTAGACCCAGCAGCTTGAAAATCACACCTGGCGCATGTGTGTGCATGACCAAAATCCCAGGAGGAGACTAGAGAAGGGAGTGTAGCTTGGCCATCTCCCCTGGGGGTTGATTTCTCACTTTCTCTCTCACTGTCTCTCTTGGGCGAGCACGTGAACCCTATGGCAAGAAATCTTTAAAAATAAATAAATAAAAATAAACAGACATTGGTACACTTTCCTATCAACAACGATTCCAGAGAAACAAAAGCCCAGAGAGAGGCTTCATGCCCAGGGGCAGCTTCTCTCACAGGGCCACAGCTGGACTCCCAAGATTTATTCTTCGCCTGTTGCGTCACCAGCAAGTCAAGCTGCAGTCTCTCAGGCCATGCCCAGAGAGCAGGCGCTCTGCAGTGTGTCTGGTCCAGTGAGCCCCAGCTCATTCTGATAGAGCGCAGACGCCCGTGAAATGCATGTGGGGCAGAGGTGGGCTCCCAGTCTCCTTTCCCAAATTTACGTCTGACGAAGGATCTGTGCTAATGAGCCCCCTGCTGGGTAGCCCTGGGGAAGAGAAAGGCAGTTCTAACTCTGGAAGGGATCCACATCACAGGCCTGAGGAATGGCCACTGTTATTGCCTCCAATAAGCCTGAGAAGGGAAGCCTGTGAGACAGGTGGGTGACTTTGGAAGTCCCTGGGTAGCAGGGAACACCAGACAGTGAATTTGAGAGCTGTCCAGGCACCTGTGGAGGTCAGTTATAGGTAAGAGGAGCTATTGCTGTTTTGGGGGGTACAGGAAGAGCTGTGGGGGACAGAACCTGTTGCACTTTGACAACACAAGCATGATTGTTAGAACTTTAAAATTAAACACCCATGAGTTTGCATCCGGGTTAGTGACTGCCTTTGGGGAGGCCACCCAACCACGCTGAGCCTCTCTGTGCTTATCTGTAAAATGGGGTAGCAATAATGCAGCCGTCCGCAGCCTTCGTTGCACCAGGAAATGGTGTCATGGAAGGTCCCCAGGAGAGGAGGGTTTCAGGATGATTCAAGCACATTACGTTTATGGTGCAATTTATGTCTATTATTATTGCATTGCAACATATAATGAATGTTTATCTTTAAAGAATTATTCATTTTGAGACCAACAGATGGCATGATGGTCACATCGCTGGACTCCTACATAGCCGATCATGGTTCATATCCCAGATCCAGCAGCTTAAAAGTCACAAGGGGCACGTGTGCGTGTGTGCCCAAAATCCCAAGAGGAGAACAGACGAGAAGGAATTGCAGCATGGCCATCTCCCTGAGGGGTGATTTCTCGCTTTCTGTCTGTCCATATTTGACATCTAGAAAGTACCAGTTGATAGTAACATTTATTTAAGATTTTTACCATAGGGCATGTGTACTCACCAGAGAGAGGGAAAATGAGAAATCACTCCTCCAGGGGGAATGGCCACACTGCAGTCCTTCTCCTCCATTCTCCTCTCATGATTTGGGGCACTCACGCACATGGGCCTGGTGTGTTTTTCAAGGTGCCAGGTACGGAATTTGAACCACACAGTTGAGCATGTGGGATCCAGTACCTTAACCACCATGACACCTGCTGGCCCTATAGTAACTTATTAGTATGAACAGGTGACCAGTGATCACGGAAGCAAAGCCACCACCGCGTCAGTGAGGAGGGACCTTGGCCTTGCAGGCAGTGTCTGGAGAATGAAGCTCTGAAGTGCAGCAGCCAGTCAGAGGCGGGAATCTGGCTCCTAAACGGAGAAGCTACCTGGTACACATACTTGGGTTAGGCCAGTGGTTCTCGTCTGGGAGTGACTTTGCCTCCAGGGGAGATTTGGCAATTTCTGAGACATTTTTATTTGGCACAAGTCTGGAGGGGAGTACTCCTGCCACCCAGTGGGTAGAAGCTAAGATGCTGCTATACATCCTAAAACGTGGATCACCTGGTAGCCCAGAGTAGGGGCTATGCATATGGAGTTGGATCCTACATGGCTGACCATGGTTCAAATCCTGGTTCAGCATCTTGAAAAACACTGAACCCAGTGCCAGCAAGTGGCATGGTGGTTAAGGGCACTGGACTCCCACATGGCCAACCATGGTTCAAGTCCTGGACCTGGTGGCTCACTTTCTCACTTCCTCTCTCTCTCTCTCTCTCTTCTCTCTCTCTTGTTCTGTCCCTCTCTGGCCAAATTAAAATAAATAAAGTTAAATAAAATGATTCTTTTTTTTTTTTGGAGAGGTTTTTGCTATAGGGCACAAGTGCTTGCCAGAAAGACAGAGTGAGACAGAGGTACAGAAAGTGAGAAATCACCCCCCAGGGGGAATGGCCATGCCACAATCCCTTCTCTTCCATTCTCCTCTCGGGATCTTGGGCACATGTGCACACATGCCGGGCGTGAGTTTAAGTCATCGGGTCTGGGATTTGAACTGTGGCCGACTACATGGGAGTCCAGTGACATAGCCATTATGCTAACTGCTGGTCCCAATAAAATAATTTTTTAAAAAGTAAAAAGTAGCAGGTGACATGGACTCCCATACAATCAGCCTTGGTTCAAGTCACAGACCTGGTAGCTTGCTTTCTCACTTTCCCTCTCTCTCTCTGATAAAACTAGAAAATATTAATAATAGTAATAATAATAATGATAAAGTTCAATAAAATCATTGTTTAAAAATAAAAAAGTAGGAGGTAGGGAACAGCAGGTGGTATGGTGGTTGCTGGGCTCCCACATAGTTAACCGCAGTTCGAGTCCCAGACCCAGTGACTTAAAATTCATGCTAGGCACATGTGCATGCATACCTATAATCCCAAGAGGAGAATAGAGAAGGAATTGTGGCATGGCCATCCCCCTTGCGGGAGTGATAACTCACTTTCTGTCTCTCTATCTCTCTCTGTCTCTAAGGTGAGCACATGCACCCTTTAACAAAAATCTCTCTCAAAAAAAAAAAGAGTAGGGGCTACCAGGGAATTTTCTTAAAAACAAAAGAGAATTTATGCACTGAAATTAGTTTCTCCTGCAACACTTCAAGTTGGATGTAAATGCAGAACTTTCCCTGGGTCTGAGTTTTGGAAGGCATTTCAGGGAACTCAGTCTGTCAGCCTCCTCCAAGCCTCCAGAACGACAGTGGAGGAGGCGGTGGTGAGGACTGAGCACCCGGCCTCAGGGGTTCCCCCTTTCTTTGAAGGGCTTGTTTTGGCAGCTTCTTCAAAGCACCTGTCAAACTGAAACCTTCTTGAAGGCACTGACACACCTTATTCATCTTTGTCCAGGACAGAGTGGGTTCACAGGAAATCTTGTTTTATTGAGAGATACCTCCCAACACACACGTGCATGCACGCATGTGAGTGCCCACCCTCACGTATGGTGGCTGCCTGAGCCTTTCCATCTCCTCCTTTGGTCTCAGTCAGAAGCTCCTTGCCCAGGGCTGTGGTGTGGGGTTTGCCATGCCAGGATCCCCAAGAGCTGCACACCATGGGCTTGCTCCCCGGGCCTTGGAGACACTCACCCCACCACCACCCAGGCAGTCTCCTGGGCCACACTTCCTGAGCTGAACAGGGTCACTCACTCAGCACGTCTGCACCTGAGGCACCCACAGATGCCAGCTCTTGTGTCCAGATGGGCCCTGTTAGGGGCATGGTGGGCCTGCCCTATGGCAGATGGGGCCTACTGGAAGGTGCGGGTTCCCCGGGACCAGCCCTGTGGCCCTTTCCCATAGTAACAGTAATTACACCGTCTTCCGTGTTTACGTAGAGCTTAGAGGTTGACACCGCACAGCATGATGGAGTGCAGGGTTTGAGAACACAGGCCTAAATAAACCCTTCTTTAGGGGGCTTTTAAAGGCTCTCCTGCAGAGCAGCTTTGCTTTGTTCAAGTATTTTCTAATCTAAGAAATACTCACTAAGATTGGGGTAGCGGGAACCAGCAGTTAGTGTAATGGCTATGTTGCTGGACTCCCACATAGTCGACCGCGATTCGCGTCCTGAACCCGGGGGCTTAAAACTCATGCTGGGCGCGTGTGCGTGTGTGCCCAAGATCCCGAGAGGAGAATGGAGGAGAAGGGATTGCAGTGTGACCATCCCCCCTGGGGGGTGATTTCTCGCTTTCTGTCTCTCTGTCTGTCTGGCAAGCGAACGCGCCCTGTAGCGAAAACCTCTCCCCCCACCTACCCCCCCCCCAAAAAAAGATTGGGGTAGCTCGGGTTCTTCGCAACTTGAAAGGAATACCTGTATGATATCGCAGGCTTCTCTCTCCCCAGAGCTGTTGGGTGCCCACCAAATACCAGGCCCTGAGCCAGGGGCCAGGGTGGAACAGTGAACAGCCAGATTGAGTTCCTGGGTGCAGGGAGCTCGAGATTTATCAATTCACCCCACAAATAGAGGGAGGTAAATGGAAAACGTGTGTGCCGTCCTTAGGGATCCCCCTGAAATGCTGCTTCCTTCCTCTGCCTCACCCCAACCACCTCCAGCTTGCACCCTGACCCATGCTCCTCTCCTCCCTCCACCCTCACACACAGCGGCCTCCCTTGAGCCCACTCCGGTCCTCTCTTCCGGCGCCTTTAGCCCATCCTGTGCATTACGGCTGTGTTCCCGTGTGCAGCGTCCTGACGGCAGCTGGATTCCATCCTGGCACCCGGGCAAAGCCTGAGGAGATTTCAGCTGGAAGTTAACACTTCCCACCTGCTTCTGTGAAAGAATGTTTCACCTTTGAGAAAGTAATTCCATGCATGTGAGGAAGAGAGGGCAGGGGACTTTGAACAGTTCATGGAAATGCACATTTTATAAAAAGCCCATGCACAGATTTTATGTTATGCACCAAAAGAAACTTGTACTGTAATTCCATTTTTCCACACATTTTCTGAAGTCCTCTCATACAATTAGAAAACAATCTAGGGGTGTCTTGGGTGCTCCTTACCAATCAAATTCATTCATATTTCTATAGCAAACTGTAAAAATATTCATACAGACTAGGTTGAACAAGGCTTCCACATAGCCTCAGACTGGGTTTTTGTGTCCAAGTGAGTTTCCAAAAAAGTAGTTGGTTTTCATAAATGTTTGTTTATTTTTTTAATCTAATTTTATTTATTCATTCATTTTTTTTTTTTAATTTGACCAGAGAGAGACACACACACGCAGAGAGAGGGAGAAAGTGAGAAAGCAAGCCACCAGGTTCGAGACTCCAACCATGGTCAGCCATGTGGGAGTGTCCAGCACCTTAACCACCAAGCCACCTGCTGGTCCCATAAATGTTTATTTTTTTTAATTAAACAAATTGTATTTGGACCTGCAGGGGGTATGGTGGTTAAGGTGCTGGATTCCCGTCCTGAATCTGGCAGCTTGCTTTCTCATTTTCCTTCTCTCTGTTTATTTCTGGTGAGCACACGTGCCCTATAATAAATGTTTAAAAATAATAATAATAATAAATAAAATTTTAAAAATAAATAACTTGGGAGGACCAGCAGATGGCGTAACGGTTATGTCACTAGACTCCCACATAGTCGACTGTGGTTCAAGTCCCAGACCCAGTGGCTTAAAACTCACACCGGGTGTGTGTGTGCATGTGCCCAAAATCCCAAGGGGCGAATGCAGGAGAAGGGATTGTGGAATGGCTCTCCACTCTGGGGAGGTCCTTTCTAGCTTTCTCTCCCTCTCTCTCTCTGATTCTCTCTGGGAAGCACATGTGTCCTATATGTAGAAAAATATAGTTTCTATAGAAGAAAAGGGGGTGGGATACTTTTTGCACTCAATTTATGATGGTAGATAGAGACTTGCAGACAACACCAATCTCCAATAAAAGGGATATTTATGGGATATTATGCAGCCAAAAGAAAAATAATGTGTTATGATGACTATGTAATAACAGGGGAAAATCTTAGAGTACTTTGGTAAGTTAAAAAATTAAACAGACTCAAGGACCAGCAGTTAGTGTAATGGCTATGTCTCTGGACTCCCACGTAGTCAACCGCGGTTTGCATTCCAGACCCGGTGGCTTAAAACTCACGCCGGGCACATGTGCATGTGTGCCCAAGATCCCAAGAGGAGAATGGAGGAGAAGGGATTGCGGTGTGGCCAGCCCCCCTGAGGGGAGGGGGTGTGATTTCTCGCTTTCTGTCTCTCTTTCTCTCTCTGTCTCTTTCTGTCTGTCTGGTGAGTGCATGCACCCTATAACAAAAAAGCTCTCCAAAAAAAGAAAAACAAAAAACAAAAACATGCTGGACACATGTGTGCACGTGCCCAAAATATCCTGAGAAGAGAATGGAGGAGGGATTGCGGTGTAGCCATCTCCCCTGAGGGGTGGTTTCTCACTTCCTTTATCTCTCTCTCTCTCTGTCTCTGCAATTGTACATACCCTATAGCAAAAACTAAAAACAAAACAAAACAAAACGAAAAAACAGGGCCGGTAGGTGGCATGGTAGTTAAGTGTGCTAGGTTCCCACATGGCTGACCGGGAATCAAGTCCTGGACCTGGCAGGTTGCTTTCTCACTTTCCCTCCTTCTCTCTCTCTCTCACTCTGTCCCTCTCTGGTCAAATTAAAAATAAATAAATAAACAAATAAATACATCTAAAAAATGTACAAGTGAAAAGTGACCCTTCTTTGTTTCCACTGGCATGGCTTTTCCAGGAGTGGGGCTTCCATGGAAGGGGATTCCCTGTCTCATGATCCTCATTTGAATCTCCTCTCTTGGGGTGTCCAGATGCTTGAAATAGTCTCCTCTGCTCTAGGGACATACTTTCTACTCAGAACTCACCCTTCTCCTGGGGGAGAGGCAGGGAAGCTAAAATTCATTTCTCTTTTTCTTTTTCCCTAGGCCGGCCGCACAGCCTTGTCCATCGCTCTGAACTCACCCACCCACGTGGAAATCGCAGGGCTTCTGCAGGCCCACGCGGAGCAGGGCAGGTCCCTGGGGCTGTAAGGGGCGGCAGAAGACTGGCAGGCCCCCCAAAAAGCTCAAAAGCCTCCTTTTCTGACCTCCTCCCTCGCCCTTGGAGAGGGCAGGGGTCATGGCCAGAGGGCTGTCCCTCAAGAGAAGAAACTATGTCAGATATGCACATACATTCCTGTCGTGAATTCTGCTCGCTAGGACGCTTTGTAGTTTTTGTCTTAGGTCATGTCCTGAGACGCCAGGCCCCTCAGAGTGCAAGGTGTGGGGGGCAGGGTGTACTGGTGTTCTCCAAAACTCCAAAACCTCCCCAGCTTTGAATGCCTCCTCATTCTACCCTTTGTAGCACCGTGTAGCAGGCAGGCAGGCGGCAGGAGCTCATTAGCACAGTAGAAAAGCAATATTTTTTACATGGAATTTTACTGTACATGGTCTTTCTGTTTTGCTTTGTTTTGTTTTGTTTAATCAAGTCTATACAAACGTGTCCGACTGAGTATACATGTGTAGAGAGGATAGGAGGGGATTTAAGCAGTTGCCTGGGCAATCGTTCTCTAGAGGACCCTCGGAGAATCACCACACAGATGGACGAAATGGAATGAGCCCGGTTAGGGGCTTTGTTTAGATGAGGTTGAGAAAGAAATCTTAAAGTCGAACACGGTAGAAAGACGCACCTGGGTGTCATTGCGCAATATACAGTCCTGATCCTTCCTGAGTCACTCAATTGGTTCCCGTTTGCTCTGGGAAAATTGGAATTAACCAGAGTCCAGACCTGTGACGCACAGCTTGTCTTCAGGCAGAGCCCAGCCATGCCAGCGATTCGCATTTGTGAAAAGCGCTTCCTCCCCGGGTGCGTTACTGTCCTCTGGGAGCCTCCACACTTCCTCGTAGCTGTATCCAGATTCATGATAATCCAGGTCCTCTCTGCTCATAATCCCTAGGAGCAAAAGTCAGCTCTAAACTTTCCAAGGCTGCAGAGTCTCCGACCCTGGACTGCAGGACCACAGCAGCGGAGCAGGGCAGGACCAGGCGGGGCAGGGCAGGGCTGGGCAGGGCCCTTCCTGGATTAACATCTCTCTCCACCAAGCAAGTCCTTAAGCTTCCATAGTCCCTGGGGACTATGAGCCTGCACGTGCATGGCTCATACTCAGTAGCTCACACAAGGTTAGTAGCGAATGTATTCTTTTCTTAAAGTCTCCTATGCAAAATATTTTCCCTTTATAAAAAAATGAGAAATATCAAAGTTCAGGAAGCCCCAAAGTTGGAAACCCAAAAGCTTGATTGTCATTCTCGCTGTAATGCTGATTTGCTTGGTGCCCCTTGGGGTGAGTCCCGAAGCCTCGTTGGGCCCCAGTTTCATCATCTCTAAGGACAGAAATCACCATACGACCTACCTCCTGGGGGTGCCATGCAAGGGACAGCTGATGGAAGTTTGGGGTTCCAGTTTGTAACCAATAAAGACTGTCTTTTATTGTCTTAAGATGGTGCTGCCAACTCCTTTCTGCCAGTGTGACTTGTAAGAGAGGCTCAGGGTCTGAGAGCAGGACCACCCACGGGTTGATGCTGTGCAGAAGTGAAGCAGATGGAGCAGACACTCCTAAAAACGCTTTAAATGGGTTTATTTTGACATCAATACAAATTATAAGAGCAAAAACCTACTTTAATAAATGTCCTAGCCCAGAGCTTTACAAACCTTTAAGTGCACACAAATCTGGGATCGTCTCAGAAAGCAGTAGCTCTGGGGTAAGGCCTGAGAGCCTGCTTTTTTTTTTTTTTTTAAGGTTTTTGTCACAAGATAGGTGCATTTGCCAGAGAGAGAGAGAGCTGCTGGCCCCATGAGTCTGCATTTATTTTGTTTTCTTTTTAGAGAGTGTTTTTTGCTGTAGGGCATGTGTGTTTTCCGGAGAAAAAGAGAAAGATGAGATCCACATAAACAATCCAGTTTGCAGTCCAGGTCTTATTTCCGCCTGTGTCTCTGCAGGTGGCAGTGGGTGGGCCTGGGTCCTCTGTGCCAGTTTAGGGTCTATCTCTGTATCTCCCATTAGGATGGCGACTTCCATGGGATCACTCCCTTTGTTTTTAAAATGGGAGCACAACTATTAAAAACATAGGACCAACAGGTGGACTGGTGGTTAAGGTGCTAGATCCCACATGGTTGACTCCATGGTTTGAGTCCTAGACCCAGTGGCCTGAAAAGCAGGCTGGGCATGTGGCAGGGGATGGGAGAGCACATTCTCTAAGCCTCAAGACAACACAACAGTGAGGAAATTCCCACTCTTCTCCCTGGAAGGGAAATCTGTGAGAGAAAACTGTCCCTTGACTCCTTGAATTCAGGCCAGCAGGTACGTGAAGGTTAACGCGCTTGCTCCCACATGACCAACTTCATGGTTTGCATCCCAGACTCAGTGGCTTGAGTCCATGTATGCCCAAAATCCTGAAAGGAGAATGGAAGAGAAAGGATTATGGCATGGCCATCTCTCATTTCTCCTTTCTGTCTCTCTCTGGTGAGCACATATGTTCCATAGCAAATAAAAGGAAAAAAAGCCACTAAAGCTTCCTTTAAAATTTATTATTATTTAAACTCATGCCAGGCATGTATGCGTGCGTGGCCAAGATCCCAAGAGGAGAATGGAGGAGAGGGGATTGTGGCATAGCCATCCCCCTGGGGGAGTGATTTCTCGCTGTCTTTCTGGTGAGCGCACATGCCCTATAGCAGAAACCTCTCAAAAAAAAAAAAAGAAAAAAAAAAAAGAAAAGAAAAGAAAGAAAAGACCTGATCTAATTTCTGGTTGTTGTTTTTTTTTTTTTTTAAGAGGTCTTTTGCCATAGGGCATGTGTGCTCACCAGAGAGAGACAGAGACAATGAGAGGGAGAGTGAGAAATCACCCCCGCTCTTAGGATCCTAGGTACTCACACACACCTGCCTGGTGTGTTGCAAACCACCTGGTCTGGGACTTGAACCATGGTCAGCCATATGGGAGTCCAGTGACTTAACTGCTAGACCACCTATTTACACCAACCTAAACTAATTTCTAAGCAGGAAGAGCCTAACACTCTGGGATTGCTCCAGGCCAGATTTGCCTAGAAACTATCGGGAGCGAGGTGGGATATGCCATTTGTTGAGGCCCTGCAAGCATTTTCACACATTTCATGGAAAAGCTCAACATATCTGCAATCTTCATATCAATAAACAAAGTAACATTTTTCTTTTTTGGGGGAGAGGTTTTTGCTATCGGGCATGTGCACTCGCCAGAAAGACAGAGACAGAGAGATAGTGAGAAATCACCCCTCAGGGGGCATGGCCATACCGCAATTCCTTCTCCTCCATCCTCCTCTCAGGATCTTGGGCACACATGCACACGCGCCCAGTGTGAGTTTAAGCCACCGGGTCCGGGACTCGAACCACAGTCAGCTACATGGGAGTTCAGCGACATAGCCATTATGCTAACTGCTGGTCCCAAGAGTAACATTTTTCAATGTCCAAAGAGAGGTCTTTAAGAGAAGACGCTTATAACCACCACCTCTGAGATGTGAAGGAAACGTTCATTTTTAGTTTGTGTTTTGACTAGTTCAAACTCTCTTTGACAAGTTCTGTCATCCAAAAGAAGACGCCAGTCAATATTTTCCATTGAATACAGCTGTGCGGCCAGGTAAGGTGAAATCTGACCTCCCAATAACAAGGGCAGCAGCAACTCGCTAATAGCCTGCCTCTTCATTATGAACAACAAAAAAAACTAGAGTCATGACAAGCCTTTCTTTTTTTTCCAGAACCTGCCTCATATCAATGATTCCATTTTGTTCTTTAACACTCATTTAATTTACCTATTTAGTATTTAGGAATGAGAGAGCCCTCTCAAAGGAGGGCTTTTTCTTTTTCTTTTTTTTCCCCAGAGGGTGTGTGCATGGCCCAGGAGAGACAGAGAGAAAGGGAAAGCAAGGAAGTACCCTTGAGAACCAGCAGTTAGCGTAATGGTTATGTCGCTAGACTCCCATGTAGTTGACTGCGGTTT